GCGTTTTAGGCCACGTGGAAAGAGTTTAAATAGAAACGCTTACTACCTCCTCTCTACTTCTGGAGGTGTCTGAATAGAATTTTGCTTGCTACTAGAAGTGTTGAGGCTGTAATGTTATCAAACCGGCGATTTTTTTTGTTATGCACGCTTCGGTATTAGAGATTCATGGTTCCCTAGAAAGAGTTTATAGAATTCGGCCACGTATCTTCTCCGTTATTGTCTGATCTCTGGTTGTATTATTCTGGTTTCTTATTAAGTTTGCGGGCGGATAGCGGTTAACACCGCGTTTTTAGGTCCCTGAAAGAGTTAACATACGGAACGCTTACGACCTCCTCTCTACTTCTGATAGTCTGAATAAATTCTTGCTTCGTTTACTAAGTGTGAGCGTGTAATGTTATCCAAACGCGATTTTTTGTACACGCTTCGTATTAGAGATATGGTTCCCTAAAAGAGTTTATAGAATTCGCCCACTATCTCCTCTCTTATTCTGATCTCTGGTTATATTTTTGTTCTCTTACTAAGTGCGAGCTGATAGGTTAACAAACGGCGTTTTAGTTTCCGGAATGAATTTACATAGTACGGTTACTACCTCCACTCGCCTTCTGATGTCTGAATAAATTCTTGTTTCGTTACTAAGTGCGAGCTGTAAGGTTATAAACGGCGATTTTGTTTGTACACTCTTTGTATTAGAGATATGGTTCCCGAAAAGAGTTTGTATATTTCGCCCACTATCTCCTCTCTTATTCTGATCTCTGGTTATATTTCTGCTCTCTTACTAAGTGCGAGCTGATAGGTTAACAAACAGCGTTGTAGTTCCCTAAAAGAGTTTACATTGAACACTTACTACCTCCATTCGCCTCCTGATGTCCGAATAAATTCTTGCTTCGTTACTAAGTGCGAGCTGTAAGGTTATCAAAGGGCGAATTTGTTTTTTACTCGTTTTGTTTTAAATATATGTTTCCCGAAAATAGTGTTGATCTTACGCCCAATACCGCCCCTGATCGCTAGTTATATTCCTGCGTTCTTACTAAGTGCTAGCTGAGGGGTTAAAAAACAGCGTTTTAGTACTGATTTCTTTTTAAAGGTAGTGTTCCCGAAAAGGGTGTATTCATTACGTTTCATACCTCTTCTCTCTTTCTGATCTCTGTATATATTGTTGCTATCTTAATACATGCGATCTGGTAAGTTAACAAACGGCGTTTAAGTACTGACTTTTACTTAAATATAACGTTTCCAAAAAGAGTATAATCATTACGCCTATCACCTTCTTTGTCATTATGATGTCTGTGTATATTTCTGCTTTATTTGTAAGTGCGAGCTGAAAGATTAAGAAACTTCGTTTTTAGTACCTACTTCTATCTAAACATTGCATTCCCGAAGTGTACCGTCACTAGTCCAATTTGTCACCTCGTAGCGGCACTAAAATAAGCGAAGACGTCAAAATATAAGCCAGCAAACTGCATTTTATTCGTATTTAATACAGAATTATACTAAGAAGCGCCTTTAAAAAATTGAAAAATTAGTGTTCGGAATTTGGTTTTTTGGGGGAGGCGGGTGCGAGGAGAATTATTCTGGAAGGAAATTAAATAATGTGGGCTTACAGAGTGAAGCCGAAGTCGTCCTTGAACTTATCGCCGTATCAGCTGCCAATTTGGTTGAATCGGCGCGTCGTGAAGCGAAACTTAGCTCTATTCACACTCCCACACCGCGACGCCCTCTCCGCCCCCTCCACCCTCACCGCCCCAGTTGTTGCTCTAGCGCGCGGAGGCCCGTTCTGGGAGGCCGGAGGTGGCAAAGCCAGGCGGGCGATTCTCTCGTGCCTCGAATGGCTTTCGGCAGATAACGCTTTCGCTACTTTCTCTTATACGTACGTATATACGGAGAAATATTTATAGTGTGGAGAAAGTTATGTAATGCTGCGGAAAATCGATTTCCGGATTTCAATGGAAAGCCATGTTTTGGGGCCCCCTGATTCAGGAAAGTGATCCCCTCTCGAAGCAAAACAGTTCGTCGGTCTCTTGACCACATGCGGACAACACCAGTGCTTAGGATCACCAGAATTTTGGTGATCGGAAATGATTCTGCCCTGGTCGATCTGGCGTGTTTTAAAGAATAGCGAGTGGGGAAAAGTTGGAAGCTTGAAGCCCTTGGAACATGTTCTACATTTTCTCAACAGTGGCTCCAGTTTTTTTCTGCAAATTTGTTGTAAGAATAGTTTGATACGCTTCTGAAGGTAGCTTAGGTCCGAATTTTACTGTCAACTTTGAATGCTTGTAAGTTACAAAATTTGACATTTTTCTCATCGTCTCCTCACAACTACAATATTGAAGACATATTTTTTCTTCAAATGATTTGTTCTCACTAATTAGTTTCTTCATCATTTTGTCACACATTTCTTTGAAACTTTTAGTGGTTTCGCGCAATTTTGCGTCAAATATGTGCATTACAAAAAAAATCGAAATCAAAAATTTCTCGTAAATGGCTCCGATTGTTCTTGAAACAATTTGAAGAGATACTGTTAATAGTACTGTATAAAAGGACAGATTCTGTATTGCTGTATTCTTTTGTTGTTTCAAAACTTAGATAATTGTGATTTTTTGACATTCTTTCACGTTGTTAATATTTACATTACCGCATTGGTTTCTAAACGGCGCCTTAGTTTACACTCTCTCCTAAAGATGGAGCTTCCGAAAATGGTTTATTCATTGCGTTTATCACCTCCCGTGTTATTCTGAAACCTGTCCTCTCCTTGCTAGCTTACTAACTTCCAGCTGATAGGTTCCTTAACGCTGCCTTAGTTCACTATTTGTTCTAAAGATGGAGTTACTGAAAAGTGTTTATTTATTACGTCTACCACCTCCCGTCTTTTTCTGAAACCTATGCATCTCCTCGCTAGCTTACTAATTGTGAGCTGAAGGTAATTAAACAGCGCCTTAGTTCCGACACTCTCCAAAATATAGAGATTCCCAAAAAGGGTATTTTTTCCGCCAACCACATCCTGTCCACATCTAAAACCCGTGCCTCTCCTCTCACAATTACAAACTTCCAGGTCATCGGTACCTAAACGGCGACTTATGGTGGCCTTGCATTAGCAATACATTTCCGCAATACATATCTTTCTGCAATTTTTTCTGCTTCTTGCGGTCATCTTTACACTACCAATATCAAGAGGGGGCAATATATTGTCAAAAAGATCTGAGCTAGATCTTTCCGGCAAGATGTTGCCGATGGTTTTACATTAGCACTATTTGTTGTCGGGTTGGTGACGGCGCGAGGAAAGTGGCGCATGGAATTAAGGGATGATAAACCTCACCGACATAACTAGTGGAAGGCAGAAGATGCGATTATACATGTCGCAGTACGTCCCACACAGTTTTTCACGCTTTGTGACGAGAAATAAATACATTCAAGAATGTCAATCTTTGTGCCTCTTGTAATTTTGACTGGTGATAATAATTTCTGGGAAAATTAGTTGGTTTCTTTCGTTGAATGTTCGCTTTGTAAGCGAGTCGTGCTTACCTGTGCGTCCCGCAAGCCGACGTCTGCGCCGGCAGCCACGAGGCGCGCCACGATCGCGTCGTGGCCGTGCGCGGCTGCGCAGTGTAGCGGCGTGCGCGACTGCTGCCCCCAGCGGTCGACGCCCGCACCAGCGCCCAGCAGCGCCTCCACCACCTGCGCAGCAACCGCTTGGTTGGAGCAGGGGAGTCCCCCTGGCGACCCGAGGCTGCCACTCGAAAGTTGAAAAGTGACTCGCATCCACAACGAGCGAGAACGTACCGCGCCTGGCGCACGCGCCCTGTCAAAGTCAACACCCGCTTGGATTTAAGATTTTTTTTCTAGAAAATTCAGAAATTGAAAATCATCCAAAGTGTTTCTCTGCGTTATGCATGGTACGACCATATATCACGCACGTTCCATTCCCACCCCCTGCTTCAGAGCACCCGACAGCAAGTGCCGACATCAGCAACACGGGGCAGTCAGGTGCGGATCGCAACATTACTGAAAATACGGCCCGCAAGAGTAAGCTGGCTCCACCGCAATCGATCACCACAAAAACAAATGCGTCAGCGTACAGAAGTAACTTACTTTGTATGTACGCAAATGTTAATTTGATCGCTGTTCTAATTTTTGCGTACAGCCGCAGGGCCACATGCAGTTAGTGCAGCGCGTGAAGGCGCGCGCCTGCGCCTTGGGAAGGAGGCGTTGCGCTCCAACGGAAGCGCTTGTGCGACTGCATTGCCTCGGCACGTCTGCCAGAATGGAGCGGCCAATTCAGTTTTCCAAATGATCGTCCTCCATGTCGCGGTAGGAAGCAATATTCATTCACGAAGGACATGCTTAGGGATAAGAACCCAAATCTATAGCTGATTTACCCTTGAAAATAGAGTATTACTACGTCGGAGAGAAAGTTTTGTTAACAATATAAACACCAATGTATTTGTATATTCAAAATTGAACTACTATATTGCTTCCGGCAAGGAACACAGTATTGTGAGCACGTGCCCAAAATTCGCTTCTCCCCGTAGCGCTACCTCGGCGTGGCCGCGGGTCGCCGCCACGTGCAGCGCGGTGTTGCCCTGGCGGTCGCGCGCGTCGGGCCGCCCGCCCGCCGCCAGGCTGCGCCGCAGCGCCGCCGCGTCGCCGCGCGCCGCCTCCTCGTGCAGCGACGCCGCGCCGCCGCCCCCGGCTGGTCGCTGCTGGCCTCCGACGCCGCTCGCCCTGCAACGCACGCGTCCGGTCAGAGCGAGCCGTCATCTGCTAGGCCCTACTCACGAAAGCAAGCAAACTGCTGATGCGTAATTTCAAATTTTCCACTGGCCAAAATAGGAATTTTACGGAGGCAGATGGAAATCGGGATTTCGCTTTGGGCACGTTATTTAATTCCCTTCTAAATAGTTTCAGTTAACACAACTGGAGTGTGAATTCGGTTTGCCAAATGCAAAGACCCCTATCACTTGGAGGGATGAATGGCCTTAGCAGACGCGCTCGGAATGCAATGAATGAATGGGCTCACCCCGCTGGCGCGGCGGGGGGCGGGGGCGCGCTCGGCGGGGGCGCGGGCGGGGGCGCGGGCGCGGCGCGTCGCCGTCGCTGGAGGTGAGCGGAGAAGGCGGGAGTTCGCTGCGGCTGGCGGAGTCGTCGGTGGCGTTGGGCGAGTGCGGCCGCCCCGCCCCTCCTCACCCGGCTGCAGCGCCGCCAGCAGCTCCTCCACCTGCGCACGGGGGAATTGGCGTTGGCGGAAGCAATTGGCAAAACTAAAATGTAGGGACGAAGTAGTGAAGCAGCGCATTGGCGAAGGGGCGGGGGGGGCGATACGCTTGGGGAGGACGACGACGAGCGCGCGCAGGCAGCGACTCCTCGACGTGCGCGAAGCCGCGCCTCATCTGCTCGCAGCGCTCCTCGCCGTGCGCGCCCGCGCGCTCCAGCCGCGCACCCGCGCCTCCAGCCGCCGGCAGCCGCCCCTCTCCCCTCCCCTCCCTCCTCTCCCCGCGCCGCGCCGCCGCCTCGTCGCTCGACATGCTCCACGCAACCTGCAACACAGACGACGACCACCGCTTTATTCAAATTTGGCGCCACACTCGGAACTCGTTCATTTTGATTATTCTTTGGGGTTACGTATGAGCAAAGAACTCTCTCTGTCACAAGGACAAGGAATTCATCTTTTGTGTGAAACTCTTTGAAACAAAGTTTGGACATAGCGCCCGCGACCCTGCCGCCACTGAGAATGTCCACCGCACACGTGGACGAAACGTTTGGCCCTTCGATGCCATCTGGACCACGGCCTACCAGCCCGGACAAGTTCTCTTCTATTGACTCCGGCCGTGAAAGCCTACGATGCTATATAAAGTTTGAACTGCTTGCAAAAGTGGCCGAGTGATTGCGCCTGCTCCTAGGCGCTGAGCCGGACAGCATGGCCCATTGTCGGCAAATTCCCGGAGTCAAACATCTTTCTAATAAGACGTGACGCGATCGCATTGTTTGAGAATCTGGAGCCGAGCACTTTCGTGGCAGATCGCCTCGCGTGAATAGAATGCTAAGTAATACGCGTTCATCGGCAATTTTATTTGCGTGAGGTAGGTGTATGTTGTACAATAACTGTATGATATAAGAAGCAACGTGTTGGCGTGCAATCCTCGGGTGACTGGACAAAACACAAGAGAATAACAGGCGGTAGGAAAATACTTTCCTCTTGTCGAGACAAGGTAATACTAACAACTTCAATACTTAATGATTCTTACGCTGAGGTGCTAACCGTCTCGATTGCGTGTCGTTCTCAGAATCTCCTCTTCTGACGAGAATACGGAGGCGGTTGGCAGGTTTTTCTCGGTGTATTTTCTGCAAACACTCTCCCAATCATCTAAGCAATATTTCGCTGCTTCAACAACTACCTTCACACGCAACTACTCCACCAAGAGATGGCAGAGCCCTTCACGCGGACCCACTACTTGCGTACCCACGTTGCGGTTGGTGTGTTGGGAGACAATCTAGGACGGAAGTCTCCTTCGTGAAGCGTATTAATTTTTTGTATGAAGATATCGATGTAGAAGTCTTCAAAGTGCCCTGAAGAACCTACACTGAGATAAACTTGTTTGTACAGACGATTATGTACGTACGGAATGTAAACGAAGTACATTTTACTTTCTTGTGTACGTAGTATGAAGAAAGCATTGCAATGCTGCAGGAAAAAGTGCCAATTTTTTGATAAAAAAAATTGTTTCGGCATCTCTTAAACCGAAGAGTGGAATGTTCGTTCTCCTACATATAGATGTTAAATAGAGAGCGCCGCCAGATTACATTTTTTAGGGGTCCTTGAAACCTCGAGAGTGTATTTTCTCCAAACTTCTCTCCTTTCATCTGTGAACTCGGCAGTTGCGCTAAAACTGTACCCAGGATTTTCACCAAAATTGATATTTCCCATTTAATCTTTCTTATGAAACGCCCCTTGAATTGAAACGAATATTTTAATTTTGGAGACTATTTTACATGATGCTCAAGGAACGTTATCATTTTTTTCTCAAAAATGACTATTTAAAAAAAAAAAAAGCCCGAATAAAGCAAAGTACGCGTACAACAATTTTGAAATTCGCAAAATCTAACCAAAATTTTGACCGCGTACTAAAAGTACATGAAGGTAGATTTTTTTTTAAAATGAAGTCTGATCTTGAATATTATAGCTTTCAATAATTTTAATCGGGTTAATTTTTTTCGGAGTAGAAGTAGCTTTCACGTAATTTTATTTAATATATCTTCTTAAGAGTTTTTCGAATGATAACTGAAGTGTTATTACGATAGTAAGTGCAATATTATAACACTAGAAATACCTCGGCAAAAATAACGGGACGTCATCAAACTCCCATATTTTTAATTATTTATAATAAATAGTTGACCGCAATTTCATTTCGTTAATAATAAATTTAAGAATTGTCATTTCCAAATTTCCTTTGTCATCATAGGTTCTTATACTGTGGTGTGAGTGTCCCCCGAAAAAGTGCGAGTGATTTTAGGAGGACGTTGAAGGTTACATTTTGGGCTATTAGCGATTCTATCCATGACCCAGGGAGGAATCCATTTTATTTCCTCTGGCTTTGGTCGTTTAGGTACACTGCGTTTTCAGAAATCAACAGCGTGTGTATCGGAGATTAGATCCTCTGCGTTTCCAAAAGTCTTTCAGAATTTGTGAAGAGACAACAACCTGTCGCGTTGGGTGATTTTCCATCGCAGATCTTCAAAAGTTTATCTGTAAGAGATAATTTTTCTAAAAGATGTACATGTTGCTAAATGCTATTTACCAAGGTCGCGGAGCAATCTAGAAAGTTCTAAAGACGCCGCCATGCAATCATTATTGTAATATTTTTGTAAATTTTGTTCCCAACCGCCATCAAAATCAATTTAGAAGACTTTGTCATCTTGCTGTATTTTGCATTTTCAATTTTCACAACTACCTATTCTCACACTCAAATTGCGAAACCAAATTGTACTGTCATGTTGTGTCGTTCCACATTTCATAGTGACCTGACCAGTTTTTAATATTTTATTTGTTATCGCGACTTCCTATGCGAAAAATCTTTTTGGAAGCATGTGCTTAAACCGTGAGTATTAATATCAAAAACGTCGAATGTGTCTGCTCTGCTGCAGTTACTCAACCTTAACGAAGCGATATCGGGGGCGCAGGAACTTATAGACTGGGAGGTACCTGCAGAAAATGTCGGGACGAAATGAGGAAGAGTTATTACAAAAAAATATGTTTACGAAATTCAGTGCCGGTGGTATTTCTTAAAGATTTCCTTTATTATAAACAAGCGGCAATCTTAAAAACTGTTTCGCTTGCAATTTGCTGTAAACCTGTAATTTGAAAATAAATCTAGAAATAATTAAATTTTTTAAAGTAATTTTGTTCAATAAATTAATCGAATTAACTAACAATTATTATACTAAAATATCGAAATAGAAATGCTAGAAGAAAAAGTAATAAATAAATTCACCATAATAGCAGTAGTACTAAAAAAAGGATTAAAAAAACCTTTTATAGCCCATTTTCTAGATGTCCGTAAGCCTCGCCTCCGAGAATAACACACAAATTCTTCAAATCAAAATATTCCCTTTCAGATATCGAAGCAACCTTCTTACATTTTCAATTTGCAGTGTAGGCGTTGGGTCCGGTTACTTCATTACTAAAAGGGAAGTTTAAACTCAATCAATAAATTCGTCAAATAATAAATTCCATTACAGAATGGGTTTTTACGTATATTGACGAGCTTTTTGATAGTAAAAAATACATTTCCCAATTATTCGGTTCAACCAAACTGTGACTAGTACTAATCTAAACTTGATATACTGATATTTTGTTGCTAAATAACTATCATTTTTAATTTCAGACTATCAACGCATTTGAAGTTTTAATGTTCAAGCTTTTATTGTGTGAAAACTTCGAGTTTGTCACATGATGTATATACTGTCTTGTGTATGTCACATGATGTATGTCTTTAATTTGTTTTTCAACAGAGATCAACATATTGCAAGCTTTCAGGAAGTGTAGACACATGTGTACATTTTTGTGTGTAAGCTTTTAATATTTTAATGTTTAGTCTTGTTAGTTTCATCCTGAATAAAATGCATCATTTCTGTAATTGCGGACAATTAAAAAAAAGATATCAGCGTGAGGAAACGCTTCACCAAGACTCCGTTTCCCGAAAGCAACGCTCCCTCTTTGGTGTGACGTGCTTCATGGCCGGTCCAGGCGCGGCCACGCTCGGCTGCCACGTCGCCCTCAGTGGGTGGGCGGCGGCGAGATCAATGATCAGCTGCGCCGCTCATCGATCGCTCGGCGCGCGTCCGCGCAGCAAGAGAAAGTGCCATCACTTCGACCTCGCACTGGCAGGCTTTGAGAGAAACTTGATTTTTTGTTTTAAGAAACATGTAGAATTATATTCCCCATTGCCTGTATTTAGGCTTACCACTTTGGACTCTTCAATCTGAACATCAACAGATACTCCAAAACTTTGAATCATTAAAAATTCAAAGTTTACTACATATAGGCCCATTTTCTAAAAAAAAAGCATAATTTAAATGAGTGATTGGCAAGCTGTGAGCCTTCTTTAAATTTTATATTTTTACCATTAGAAGAAATTATACGGATTTACCGTTAGAAAAAATTTAACATCTCAAAGAAAAAGTGACAAAATAAAAACAAAAAACGAAAACATTTAATACCGCCTCTAGATATGTAGGGTAATTTAAAAGGGCAATTGAAATTCATTAACATTAAATCCAATAGTATATTTCGTTCACAAACATTGTTGTTTTTCTTTTGTTTAATTTGTTTGCACGATGTAAAATATTTATTTCATTGAGCATTTGCAATTGGCAACATAGTTTACTTGAAAGCAATAAAATATTAAAATTCAGGAGTCCACCTTCATTTAAAGTCAATAACATTTAGGCTTCCAGTAATTCAAAGTAATTTTCAAGTGTGAATAGAGCATTCATGTTTCACGTTGGCTAAAACAAGAATTTCAAAGGTCGTTTTAATCATCTTCAAAATTTTTATGCTCTAATGCTTCATAAATAATATTCCACTGCAGTAGTTAATTTCATTCCGTGTTTGTTCAAACTAAGTGCCGATAACACAGAATATCGAGCCATAGCGTGGCGCGGCACAACCAGTTGGGTTGAGAGATACAAATCGGTGGAATTCTTTTCCAAGTGGTCAACCACAAACTGTTATCTCATGATTACGACTTAAATGCCATAAAACATTACCGGGTGAATTAGTCCAAACGGGCATCTCTTGTTGTTTTTTTACTTTTTAATTTTTATTATTTAATTAAGGGCCTTCGAGATTTATAATCAGCCTTGTGCGGTGTCATTCAGCAAGTTGCAGCACGCTTCTGCTAAGCTACTACTGCTGCTAGTAATAATAATGCTGATAATACTTTAGCACATCTACTCTTCGAGCCCCCAATTGCAATGACTGAGCAGTTATAGCGAAGTAAAACACTCGGACGAGAGAGACAAGACTAACCCACCGTGATGTACAATGAACGCCCATAAGAAGCCTCCTCGCTTGGCAATCCATTGTGTCGCGCGAGCAGAATTTCCTTACGCAGGAGAAGCCTGTAAGGTCCGCGCGCGATGTCTCCCATGACGTTCTTCACTTGTTTGTTTCTTTGTTTTAATGATTCCGTGCACGTCAACCAACAGGGCCACTAAGTGTAGTGCACGTTGTGCTCGGGCTGTAGCTGTGATCTTTCACTCGCTGTATGGCCCGGCTGCTATAGTTTTTCATGGTTTCTCCGATCAACACCCGGCGAATGACAGAGTAGTAGCCTAACAAATGGGCCACGGACCTCCTTCCTCTTCCTTGCCCTATCCTCATCCCTCACGTACACACATACTTGCATGCACTCCACTACCACACATGTCGGAAGACCAGTTGGGAGCTTAGAGCTCGTCCCGGGTGGAGCGGTGACCCTTTGGGGGAGATACCTGGTTAGGGCAAACACCGCTACCCAACGTGTTGGTTGGACCACCTCCACCCCCCAGAAGAACATGCCCTACACTTACGGGTCGAATGACCCCTCCCCCCAGCAGTTGACGCGTTCGAGTCACTAATCAATCATTCGAGTGGTGAAAGTCAAAAGGTCAAGAAAGACAGATAAGTCTCTAGTATCTATTGAAGGGCCGTGACGATTATAAACAATGAAGCGTATCAGCCATACCTTGTGGCAAGTGAATTGATTTGGCGAAATACATATTCATTATTCCCCACTCTGCCTTATTGTCTTCCAGCGATCCAGGGATAAAAAATCAAACAGCATTCAATAAAGATAATTTTATCAACAATAATACTTCTAGACGTATCTTCTTAAGCAGCATTTTCAAGGGGAATATTAGTAAATAGTTCTCATAATAATATCGGAATATTTCAAGGTACCGGGCATGCAACTACCTTATCCACTGGTCCTAGGAGTTCAGTGCTTATTACACTTGAGAGATGGAGGAGTTGCCCCCACGCTGGCACACGAGATCCAGCGCCAACCTCCACGTCGAGACTTGCGGGCTTTCCCCAACCAGCGTGGCACCGCCCCAGCCGACTGGTCTCCTGGCGTGTGTGGTAGTGTGTGTGTGTGTGTGTGTGTGTGTGTGTGTGTGTGTGTGTGTGTGTGTGTGTGTGTGTGTGCAAGGGACGAAAACGTCGCGCGCCGTGCGTGGCCCGGTTGTCGGAGTGCTGCTTCGGCATTCGCCTGGTGTTGATGGGAGAAACCACCGATCAGAGCAGCCGGCTGCTAGACGTCTCCTCCAGACAGCGGATGAATTGGCTCTCCAGCTAGTGACGAAAATCCTCGACCTTCGAGACTGAAACCTAGGACTTCACGTTGCAGCAGCAAACGCGGTTAGCGAGTCATCTCAGCCGACAGTTGAATGAGTGCAGGTTTCTTTATTATTGAGATTATTTATGTTTGATTCTCCTTCTTGCAAAATCGACTAGTGGTGCTAAACAGAACATACTTTCTCGCCCTTAGTGAAGGTTCAATAATACTATTTTGGCCGCAATTTCTGTCTGAATTAACACATCTCAGTCAACATTTTCGGTAAAACTCATTAGAAAATCGTAGAACATTAGGTGCCAATATTAAATATTTTCAAGCAGATATCAACACATTCGGCAATGAAGACTACGTTTCTTACAGCTAAATCATATCGCAATAATGAAACGGTATTCAAAGAAATAAATAAAACCCATTTATCGTACCGCCATTCAACAATGAACGTCTCAAATGTATATTGCTGCATTGTTGCCCAAGACTGTGCATGGTGGTGATATAAAATTAAAAGTTAAATAAACGTGCGTATACATTTATGGCACACGATTTTTTTCAATTTTTCTTACATGTTACATTTAAATCGTATTTTTAAGAGGGAAAATATAATTAGGCTTATTTCAATTAAGGTTTTCGGATTGCTTGAAAGAAAATACTTCGATACATTCAGAATACACATATATTCCTTGCAACCCAGACAAAACATATGGATTATCAAAAAGGTTTCGAATCATTTATAAAAGATTAATTTGTAAACTAAAAGAAAAGCTCGAATGTAAGAAACGAACAAAGATATGTCAAATAATACACAAATTCCAACTTACGTGGCATCCAACTGCCTCCAAGCAATTCACAACTTACGTTCACGAAGCGCGGGAAATTCGAAGCGGGCGACTGTTTGACGCCAAATTACACAAAAATACTTATATTTTTGAAAAATTGAACTGGTTCTAATTTAAAGATCAGTTTTTAACGAACACATTTCATTAAGAAAATACATTTATCTTCACGGTTGGTGTAGTTGTAGGAAGCCGCCGAATTTTCTTTTTAATTTTTGCACTTTTCGAAAAATCAGAATTTTTAAATTTTACGTGAGACATGTATATTAACATGAACTCTTTAGCGTTCTACACGCTATTAGAGGTCCACATTTAATCTAAAAAAAATGGTGCCATTTTTGGGAAAAATGTTAAAACAAATCAAAGTTATCTCAATTTCGCAAATTTACAAAAAAAGTACTCAAATTTTCGAAATATTGAATTGAAAAGTTCACTAGCATTGACCACAGACGGTCAGGTCCATGTTTTGACGTAAATCGATTTTTCAGAATCAAGGACCCACAAATCATCGATCCTGACCACTCAACGTGTTAGAGGAAGTAATTTACTATACATAGGGTCATTTATCCACTTTTCGTTGCTAGGGCCCGTGATAAGGGGTTTTCCGGCGCACGATTACATGACATTCTTTTTCACGAAGAAAGAGCGTGAAAGGAGAAATCAAGTGCAGAGTAATGTTTTAGTCGGAAATTTTGAGTTTAGTACAGAAAAGTCAGGCGCCAGTAAGAAGATCCGCATTGAAAGTGTCAAACCAAAGGTGTGAAAATCTCTTACCGTTCCTTAGTCTATTATCTAACAGTTTTGTATACGTTTAAACCTTCTGTATCTCTGTTGGGTTGGTGAGAGAAAATCTGTTTTATGAATCATTGTAAAGAATTTGATTGTGTGAATATCACGGCTTAGTAATAACATATACGAAAAGTTTAAATTTTTTTCTATGCATTGTTGGTTGAAACTCACGGGCACAAACTCTTCGTTATAGCCTTTGAAGAAAATAAAAAAATGCTTTGAATTTTTATTTTTCATTAAAATATGTTGAATAACATAGAAACAAAAATTTTAATATATTTAACATATTCATTGTACGCAAGTTGACCCATCTTTCTAATCACGCACCCTTTAAAATAACGATTTTTTTCAGGCAATGAAAGCTTATTTATTTATTTTTTTGTTGGTCAGTATTACTAATGTAAGATTATCTTGTTAGACTCAGTTTCCCGGCGAATAATATAAAATAAAAAGCGAACTCAAACAGTATTTACAAGGAAGATAATTTTCGAAGAAAGTTAGTGATCCGTTTTGATTTGACGTGTTCTTTAAGGAACAAGATATCTCAATATCTTCGTTCTCAATAACGGCTCTCCCGGTTGGTAATTCAATCTACTCTCGAATAATCAGCGATATTAATTTGATAAGGATCTTTTGGAACGTCAATCGCTGAGATGCTGGGTCACAAATGTAGATAGCAACAAGTAAGAAAATACCAAACTACAAACATTTTAAGAAACCAAACATTCCTTTATAATTTAATGTTGATAAAAGCATCAATTTACATTTACTTCTTAAGAATCACGAATTTTTAGAATCACTCAATACGCAGAAAACTATAATTTATCTCTCCATCAATTAAATTCCATATACTAAGGTCACCGTGAACTGGTATGTACCCGACAGTTTCAGTAACTGTCTTGCATAAGAGAAAGTATTCTCTCACTCACCTCCGACTGAAGTTTCGTAGGCGATTTCGCTTGAGCGTGTGACACGAGCTCCTTCGAAACTGGCATCCGCCAGGGCGCGTCTGTGCACTGCAATCAATAGCAACAGCGGAGGGGTGGCCTCGGGCCAAGCTCATGCGGTGCGCCCTCGCGTGCACTGGCGCCCCTGACGGTTGGGTGCGAAGTTACACAGCGGAGGGCGGGCCGCCTCGCGAGCCACAATTTTAAAGTGACACTAACAGATCGTTTTAAATAAAACTTGTATAATTTGACAATATAATGGAACAAAAGCACGATTTTTCACTACACCCATGTAGGTCATAATTTATATTTTTACAGTGAGCAAAAGCAATTATTTTTTCTGAAATAGATTTTAAAAAAGCATTGTCTAAAAATATATCTGAACAGTTGAATTGAATAACACCTGAATGGTTTAAAATTTAAATAACAATAAATTTTAAATGTACGTATGCTACAGGAGAAATAAATAAATGAAGATGAGAGTTATAACAGAGAAGAAAGGAAAAATTAATATATTAAAGTATTAAAATTCTATGATTATTGTTATTGTGTAATTTTTGAAAAACCGTTATGATGTAAAAACATTTCAAAACCTGGATATATAGTTTAATAAAAACATAATAAAATACTTAACTAGTGGTGCTACGGAATGGCACAGACTTTCCCGGATTAGTTTTCTATTTCCTTTGGTCTCGGCTAGCTATTCGAACTTGCCACATAAGCTTGCCTGCTGTCATCTATCGCCGCCCAAGTACATTTTTCGAAATTTTTTCAAAATTTTCGGTTTTTTAATAATAGAACGGAAATTTTATTTTATGATTATCAAAAAGCAGTAAAACCTCGTTCTAAATTGCAATTTTCTTTGAAAAAATTGATGCCGATTTCGACAAAATGGCGCTTAGGGGCTACTGTAAACTCGAAATTTGAAGCTCTTTCACAGAAAATATTTGAAGTACTTTAACTTACAAATACGCATTAGTGTTTACAAATTGCTGGAAATGTGCATATTAACGGCGTGAGAGATCTTTAAATATGTACATTTGTGTAATTTTTGAAAGAAACAAACGCCATATTGCTATATTCTTTTATCTCCTCTTGTAGAAAGCATTTAGCACTATCCCTACCAAAAGTTTAAAGAACAAATTTTCAGCCGTTATTGAGAAAATATTTTCCTAATTTTTTTTTAAATTTCACATATTGCACGAAAACTACTTAAAGTTCAGAAAAATATACATTACCTTAATGAAAGAACTCACTATGGAGAACAAATTTTATTTGAAGGAAAAATCTCTATCTTCAGTTTTGTAATTGTAGGAAGACTCCCGAAAAAATTTGAAATTTTCGAAAATTCAGAGTTAAACCTGAAAATCGGATCTATGCCACCTTCGTAATTGTATTTTACTATATTCTTACAAGAAATGTAGAGAAAAAATTTGGATCCGTTTTTGAGAAAATTTTGAAAATGTCCGGAGGGCTTTATCTAAAGTATCCTCAAATTTTGAAGAATGTTTTTCAAAATCTCAAAGTTTCGACCCGAGACACTTGGACAGGGGTTTCTTCAACTTGGAACTCATGGTTTAGCCGCTAGTAGTATTCACAGACACATGACGGACGGACAGACGGAACAACACTTTTTCGGTATCAGGGGACCCCAAAACGTGTATTTCCGTTGAAATCTCGAAATCGATTTTCAACAGTATTACATAATTTTACATATACTAATATTACTTCTAATATACGTACGTATACGAGAAAGTAAAAAGCATAATCACATGCATCATAAGCTCCCGACGTGTGTGGTAGTGTAGCGAATGTTGGTGTAAGTGTGTGTGAGGGATGAGGATAGGAGAAGGAGGGGGGAGGAAAGATCGCGCGGTGTCCGTGGCCCGTTTGTCACGATACTGCTCCGGCATTCGCCTGGTGTTGATCGGAGAAACCACGGGACACAGAGAAGCCGGCCGCCTCCAGACAGCTGCTGAATTCGACCTAGCTACGCACCTATTGTCGAAAATCCGTTACCGTACAATACCTATTCAACTGGACTAGCCATGCATGTTTTGCTTAACGTACATTGTGCTTTGCGCGAGAAACTCTGGCTGCTTCGCTTATTGCTATTTAGATTAATGAATTATAATATTTGCTCCCTCAAAATATTGGTTTTCCCGTGAATTTTCGTGCCTCTGAATGAAAACATAACGCTTGCAAACATGGGCATTCTCCCCCAGGTCGTTTTGTTATTGTAGAAAACTGCAGTTTCCCTCTTTTGCTGGTTCTCCATAAATGCTCTGGTAGTTGCGTCGGTGTTTGGTGTCTCTTTTGTACCACAGCAATCTGGTCTTGTATTTACTTTTCTAAATTGTCCAAAACATATTTAAAAAATCACTCTTACGTATTTATACACGATAACAAAAAAACTAACAATTCTAGTAACAAGCTCAGTACAGTTTCAGCACTGCGGGCTCTGTCGACTCGCGATTCAGGTCGCCAAGAGATCGCAAAAAGATTTGTCTGTATGGAACCCCTCTTCACTGACTGAGTAAAAAATGCTCTTTTTGCATCCTTGGGAATGGTAAAAGGAGGGAGACAGGCATTTTTCGATTTAAATGTTTCGATTCGTTCCAATTTCGAAAATTTCGCACGTTTTTTTGAACTCTCCTTTCGATTCTAGTGGTAGGAGTAGAGGTAAGGGCGAGTTACTATTTTGTTAGCCATGCAGAAAATCAAATCTGCAGTTCGTTTACCATTGCAAATAAGTTTTCTATAAATCGAGAACGAAAATGTCTGGAATTTCTAATGTTATTAATCTCGCGTTTTTTATTTAATTTTTATTTATTTTATTAATATTATTTATTTATTTTATTTATTTTATTTATTTATCTTTGAGTGTTACTCATCTTTTAACTGTTTGTAGTTAAAATGATGGGAAGGGATTCTGGAACTCAAGAAAACGTGCGCAGATGATCTTCTTCCCATACGTCACGTACAGTTTTTACTGGTTTTTGACTAAATAAATAAATTTGCCCTTTCATCTGGCTTTCCGCCAGCCCATTTTGCATCCAAAGAGTGATACGAGATGAAACACCACAACACTGTAAATTCAAGAGAACATGCAATATTCACTGTAAACTTCTTTCAAACATCTTCTTTGTCTACACTGCTGGAATAAAATAATGCACGGAACTCGTCAGTAAACGTGTTTTATTAGCTCGTAAAAATATCGGCACCTCGAGTGTTGATTTTTTCTCACTCGGTGTTGTTCACTCACGTATATAACAAATTACAAAACGTGTATAAATTAATCGAATTTTTAATACGTTTTTTGAAATTATTGTCTCGGTAAAGGGTGCTTCTTCGTTTATACAAATATTTCTTTTATTTAAAATGTTGTTCGTTTATATTTCTCTGACTGCTCTCATTGCATTTTGTTACAACTTATGTCCTATTCTTTGTTTCGGGTTGAGGCTTCTGACCCATTCTTCCATAAAGCATTTTAATTATTATGCGATGATTTTATTGAAAAGTAAATGACTGTTCAAAATAAAGAATAGGACATAAGTTATTGTGAACAAAATTAAAATTTTGGTATCAATTACTTAGATCTTGACACATCAATAACCATTTTTATCATAAAGAAATACTTACGATTAGTCCATTCTTTAATAAAAAAACATATCTGATGAACATGAAGAGGGTGTTGGCAATATCAAATTGCCATGGTGGCACCAACCCTATCTTCAGCGCTGAGGACGACCCCGAAACTCGTACGAAAGGGAATTTTCATTTTAAAGATACCCCAATTTTATTCCTTTTTGCCTCGATTATGGCCCACAGGGTATGCTATGGGCCACACGGTGACCGCTGAAGCCTGTGAACATTTTTGGATGTTATTCTATTCGTAATATTGTAATGTCGTAATTCGTAATAACCCAAAAAGCGCCTACCTGTCTTCTTTTCAATTATTGAACGGAAACTTGTCATTTTAAGGGACTGAATAAAGCTTTCTCTCTATTTTATTTCGAATTACTCGTTTTTTAAAGTTGAAGAAACGAAATATTCTCATTTTTGTCGTAAAGTTCATATTAGTATTCAAACTTTAGTATTTTCGGACTTAAAAATGTTAATTTTACTAAACATAGTCTGCAGTATTTGCGTTATGTAAGTCGGAAAAATTAATTCAGGAAAATATCTGAATATTTTGTCAGTGTTCTGTCTGATAGTGATAAAACCTAGTAGTGGTTCGTTCTGAAAATCAGAAAGGAAAGATTTTCTTTGTTGTTTCTTAAAATTTCGACAATATAATATTTGACGACGCTTGTCAGTAATATTTGGGCAACTTACCCCAAGACCTAAGTTAATTGGCATCCTTTTTTTTCTTTCTTTTTTTTTTCTTCATTGAAAACAAATTAAGTATTTACTTCATATTCAAATTTACCACTACAAATTATTTCTGTTGCATGGAAAGATAGATTTTGTATATGCATGGACCCACATGGATCTAACTCAAGGTTTCTTACTTTCTATGGGCACACTGTTGTAGAATAAATGACGTATTTTTTTTTAACATGTCATGGTTTCTCGTCCTTGTTTTCCGTGTGTGAAACAGCTATTTTTTTTCACAGTGTGTGAAACATCGCTAGCGATTCGCAATTTTCTCTCGTCTTGGCGTCTTTATTTATTATTTACAAACAATAGTGATACGACACTGACTGGAATCCATTTATTTTTGTACAAGAAAGGGATTTAATTTATATTCCTAGACTTGACGCATTGCGTTTCGCTCACGGCGAGTTAAAAAAATAGAATACACACACGGGCGCGAGGTGATTCCCGCACTCGTCTCTTTGTCGCCCTCGCCACGCTCCGACAACATACTCGACTCGCGCGTGGATCACCTGTATCGCGCCCTTGTTATGTAAAGTACACTTATTGAATGTACGAATTTCGAGGAATATTTTTAATGTACATTCATAAATTGGAAAGATGTCTTTTAACTGGTAAAGTTTGAAAAATTTTGTCGCTTAAACCAGGAGAGGTGGCTCAAGGCATCATCTCATGTCACTGCAGTGCTCTGACCGGGAAGTCCTAAATAAGAGTCCTAACGGTGGCAGGATTTTCGACACTAGCCATCTAGCTATCTGTCGCTATCTGGAGGAGAATTCTAGGCGTCGGCTGCTCCGATCGGTAGTTTTCCGTAGTCTCTCAAATCAACACCAGGCGAATGCCGGAGCTGTACCCTACCAAACGGGCCTCGGCCGCGCGCGGTCTTTCCTTCCCATTCCTTGTCCTATCCTACCCCTTACACGCACTACACTATTACTCGCGCAACTTTTCTTGAACGATGACCTTGATCCCCCTCCCTTGTGCAACAAACAGTTGAAGGCAAAAGCTCGCAGCGGGCACTGATGACAACCTTCCAAGCATTAAAACTTCGTTGGCGCGAAAGAGAAGATAGTCAAAGCCAGTTGCTTTCATAGTGCAGAACTCCTGTTCACATTTATTGTCAATATCGAAAGAAATGGCTGAGTCAGGTCCAGGTCCTTCTACGGAGTCACCTAAAACTCCCGAAAAAGTTAAGCACAAGATGCAGTTTTGACTTTCATTTCACACACGTTTGCATTACTTAAAATACTCTAGTGGCCGACTTTGTAACTAATACCCCCACTCCACCTGAAATCGTCAATACATCATTCAAGAAAAGTTGCCCGAGTAATACCACATTTTCGGAAGACCTGTCGGGAGCTTAGAACTTCTCCCGGATGGGGTGGTGCCCTGCTGGTGGGAGATACCAGGTTGGGGAAAACCCCACTAGCGGACGGTAGGTCTGCGCCATCCAGTGGGGGGAGATCACCGCCACCTCCTGAGCAAAAAAGAAAGAAAACCACAGACAAAAGCATGCACTACACTTACAGGAATAATCTTGGCTGTTGACGTGGCCGGAATCACTAGTATCAATCAATCATCATTCGTCGCTTAAAACTGATGGGCGGCGGCCTATAAAAAGTAAGTACGTGGGTGCCTTCGTTTTCTGCACTTAGTACTCACCGTCCCGACCTAGCATGTGAAAGAATGACGTGAGGTTTCATCTCTAAGTTTGGCAGTCTAAATTTCTTACGAAAGTAATGTCTAACTATATTCGCATTATCCTGAACTGTATTGAAGTAAAGTTTTGTATGATACATAACTGAAAGGGTGATAAGCTGAGTTATTAATCAATCAATCTATCAATCAATCAATCCTAGCGGTCCCACTAACGATCTATTCCCACCAGAGCAGATGGCACGCAGCACTTTGTAATGGCGGGCTGAGTAATGGGGTCTTGCATCATGGGCTGACTGAAGGACAGCGTACAAAAATAAATTCATCCCTTTCGGAGGCGGAAACGGTTCGCAGCAGAATCGTTCTTCTGTCGCCGTTGGGGGTCGTATTTACCAACTGTGAATTACGAACTCAAATCAAAGTCCATTAGTCTGTTGTTCTCCTAATCGTCGTCGTGGACCGTGTATTCACACCTGTCCACAGACGTGTCAAGGAGTGTATTATCTCTCATTACATGTTTATTATTAGTACGCAGTGATAATTGAAGAGCTTCACCAGTGAGATGTCTCTGACGTGAAGAACCACTTTTGCCCCACCGAGAGTATCAGTGTAGAACGGTCCAACGACTTAGGAATTTGTTTTGTCTATTTCTGATTGCATTCTTTACATTTTTTCGTTGATATTTAAAATCGTAAGTATTACATTGAATTGGCTGGAATATATATACAGTGATATTGCGTAATATTTTCAAAATGTTGCAAAGTTTGTTTGATCTTAAAGACAATGTGTAATGGGTGACGTTTGAGAACCTTGTAATTCTTTTTTTATGAATTGATATTATCAATGTTCTCTGTAGTGATAACTTCACAAATAATAATGTTGGTATGTAGTGTTCTGGTGATTTTGCGGTAGTCCTGTTATTTGGTTATAATTCTTTAAATGAAAATCCTTTTTTAAGGTTTACTGACTTTTTATTATTTAATTCATGGAAATAACATATTTACATTAAAAATTTAACACGTTTACTGAATCAGTATTGTTTCTTGAATTCAGAACTTATTTTCAGAGCAACTTGGAACTTTTATTTTCTTGTGCCACTGTTAATAGTTAATTTGTGGTTTTAGTTTTTTATTTATTTAAATTTGATTGCACTGAATTTGAAATATTATTAAGTATTGCTGGCAATTTTTTGTTCTCTATTTAACCACCAAATCAAAACACTTCATTGAAATTATATTTTGCTAAAACAATTTATGGGTGGCAAGGCAATTTGTTTGAGTATGTCGTCTTCATAATAATTTCATAATAATGTAAGATGTGGTCTATTTTTACAACAACACAATCTTTACATATTTAATATTGTCATTAGTTTCCAAAGCATACATTTCACTGAACATCAAATTTTAAATTTAAATTTTTTAACAAAAAAAATTCCTCTTTTCAACAAACAAAATTTATCCTGTGTGAAATAAATTTTATAAAATATGTTATCTACTTACCAAAACACAACCAATCAGTATGACAACTTAATAATTTCTACCTAAAAAGTATGCAATTCCTTAGCACTATTATTTTTGGATTTTGAGAGATACATATCTTGCTAGTGGCATTACTCGTTCGAGGTTAATGGCTGATTTCCACTCTCTAGTCTTAAAAATGTTAGTTTTGATATAGTTTAAAACTAAATTCATTAGATCAAGAGGAATGAAACAAAAATTTTATATTTGAAAAATAAAAAAGGGCACAGGCAATTTTGCTTGTAAGTTATGGAAAACTTATTTGTATTGGTAAGCGAACAACAAATTTTATTTTATATTATTGCAAATAAAATAGCTACCCTTACCTTTGGCTCTAGCCTAATCACAATTTGTGAAAGGAGAGCTTAACAAGATGTGTGTGAAGTGAAGCTACATTTATGCCCAGAAGTAAAGCAAGGGGTCATCTCAGCTTTTGCTAAATGGATCAGAGAAACTGAACAACAATCCTGATTGAGATTTTTTTTTAATTAAATTTGATTTGGTGGAAATTTGGTTTTAACCAAAAAAAAGTAACAACAGTATTTTTTCTGTATTTCAGTTTAACAGTATTTCAGGTCCATCTAAATTGAGATGACTGATCGGAGTTCCCAGAGATCTGACAATGCCCTTCGGGAGAACCAAATTGAGGATTCTTCAGGAGATGCTTTTCAGCTAATGGCACAGGGTCTGGCGCAGATGCAGGTGGCAAATGGCAGGTTACACATTGCTCTGCGGCAACAAGAACGGAGGATGATGGAGGCGTTGCAGCAACACGACCAAAGATCTCAAGAGGCAGTGCGCGAGGTGTTGCAACTGCAAGAGCAAGGGTTGCAGGAGCGCATAAATGAGGTTAAACAGGTGATGGAAGGAAAGATATCAAGAGTGAGTGAAGCTGTATGTAATTTAACCTTGGCTGTTAACGAAGGGCTTAAAAGAGTAGGAGAGAGGTTGGAGAAGTTAGAATCATCCAGTTTGGAGAAGGAACATTCAAAAGATGCAAAAGGGCAGGATGCTTTGGAGCAACTAGAGGACCGAATGAAGAATTTGGAAGTGTCTGTCCAAAAGGCTCTGAAGTGTGTTTTCCCTCGTGTTGATGCCCTCGTGTCTCAGTTGGAGCATCATGAACTTACTGTAACTCCTCAGAACTCTGCCTCGGTTGATGTTCCTACTTCGACTGCATCGTCTTTGGTGTCTGGTTCTTCACGTCCCTCATCTGCTACTTCTTGTCCTTCCACATCTGCCTCTTTGTCATCACCCTCTGCTCCAGCTCAGTTGGATATTGGTCAGGAACGGTGCGTTGCTTTGGGAAGAGGTCTTTGTAAGGCTGCAGAAGATGGGAAGGTAGAGGAAGTTCGCAGGCTTCTGGGGGAGGGAGCCGTAGCAAATTTCTCAGATTCAGATGGGTGGACTCCTTTGCACTGGGCGGCACGGAATGCGCACACCGAAATTGTTGCATTACTTCTTGACCAAGGTGCTGATGTTCATGCTCGAGATACAGATGGGGATACCCCGTTGCATCTTGCTGCCCTGTATGACCGTGTAGGTCAATGCGTTTTCCTGCTTATTGATGCTGGGGCCCATATAGACAGCATGGACAAGAATGGTGAAACTCCGTTGGGTTGGGCTTCCAACGCAGGTAACGTGGCTGCAGTGAGATTGCTTAAAGCTGGCGATTCTAAAATAGTTAGCGAGGACCCTGAGGAGCAGTTGGTCACCTAGCTGGGTATTCTGTGTGGTAATCAGCACATTTTATTATCTATTAAATTAAGTTTATGACTTCAGGGTCTCTGCAAAAATAATTTCAGAGCTCTTTGATGTATAGCTCCCTCAAGTACCATTCAGAGTTACACTTTCTGCATGTCATATGAAGTGATCCTCGTGTCTGCAATCTTCGTTATTGTAAAAATCATACTGAATGTTAAAGCAACTCTGAACTTGAACCCAGAAATACCAAGTATTAGGGTGTTTTAAAAACTGCACAACTGAACAAAGGGGAATGTCACATACTATGAAGTCTATATATTTGTATGATTCTTTCTAGTTCTGAATCTTCTTGGTACATTTTTGTGACATGATCTTTTACTGTTTCATAAAATTGATCCACTTCTTAGAATGGTGTTAAGCTGCTGAGTTCATTTGTTGCCATTACTACTTCTGCTACAAAGCTACTATTTTAATAAAAATTATAGTAATAATAACTTGGCTGAAGTAGCCGAGCAGGCCCTGGCTAATTGAAGCAACCGTTCTCAGGAGGCAACCTAAGGATTTATTGACTCTTCAATAGGATTTAAATTGAGCTGCTGTGGTTGCTACTACTGCTACAAGGTACTGGATGATAATGGGTCTGTTGAAATGATTTTTTAGAATTCTTCACCGACAATAATTCTTTCATGAAAACCTACATGCTGTCGAGTTTTCTTACATGTAATAACCTGAATGTTTTGAGGAGTGAATCTACTTGGAATGGAAATTAATTCATTTTCTGTTAATTTCTTTTGCATTGCTAATAAATGACTGAAAAATCGTGAAATGACTGAATAGTGAAACATTTTAACAGTCGATATGTACATAGTTTGTTACGTTCAGAACTAGTAGAATAGGTTGTGTGTGTGTGTGTGTGTGTGTGTGTGTGTGTGTGTGTATATATATATATATATATACATACTCTTGTTTTGAGTTGCTTCACAAAAAGAAAGATAATGGGCTACAACTGCACGTGCCCAATGTTTTTGGAAAATCATGAAAAAGCAGATTTGTTCCTTTATATTTTAAGTAGATGATGATGATGATGATGATGATGATGATGATAATGATACTACATTTTGGTGTGCCAAAGCACGTACTTTTTCACATTATTCCCAACTTTTACAATTTTCAGACATTTTGAGAGTTTAAAGAAAATGTGCTATTTTTTAAACAGTGTTTGCTCTCTATGAGGAAATAATTTGGAGCCGTTCTGAGAAATACGAAAAAAGTGCATTAACTTATAGCATGGATTTAGTGATAACTACTCGTATTTTCAAAAAAAAAAAAATTGTACATGACCTTTTCTAAATATCTATATTTTTAGAATATATTACATTAAAAATATGACATCCATATTCTACTGTAGAAGCATTATATTTTCGCAGATTTCACTGAAAATGTGACCTGCACCAATTTTTTTTAGTGTGTTTGCTATGGGGAAAAAAATAAGAATTTGGAGCTGTTTTTGGGAAAATAAGTATTTAAAAATTGCCTGTACTTTATACAAGAAGACGAGAAAACTACTCATATTTTTGAAAACTTGTAAATTACCTTCTTTAAAATTCTGGCTATAAAAAAATATGTTTTTTTAAGGGCGGAAAATCTATCTTCAATGTTGTAGTTGAAGAAAAACTGAAAAAAATGTTGAACTTTTACATTTTTTTAAAATTTAGAGTTAAATGAAAATGAGACCTGTGACAATATTTAAGCATCCTTTGCCCTATCAGAGGAAAAAAGTTTATTCAGAAAATTTGGAGCCGTTTTGGAAGATATTCTAAAATTACTGTTTAAGCTTTATGTTAAGTATCCCCAAAATTCAAAGTATTTGTTTCATATTCACTGCTATATTCAATTCAGTGCCTTGAGTTCATTGAGATCGATCAAGAAATATCAAGTTTGGAGAAAGAAGTTAGACCTGTTAAGATTTAAATTCGATTTTTGAGATACTGTTTGAAATTTTGTTAAGAAATTGCTGACTTAAAGGATGTGGACTTCATGTTCTTGGGAAGTAGTGATAGTAAAACTCTTTCAAATAATTGAAATCAATTAGTTGTAATCAGTGCTTGATTTATAAAATTATAGGTCCCAGAACATTCTCAATATTAATTATTAATGTCATAGAAATAGTTATAAATTTTTAATACAATTTAATAATTATACATCATACTTAATAAATATTAGCAGCAGTGGTAGCCCCGACTCTGTGAATATAGTAAATAGTAATAATAACAATACAAAATAAAAAAAATAGTGTTTGTAATGATATTTTATCATTGCTAATAGTTTTATTACTTTGGTAAAAATGATAGTTAAATGAAAAACTATTTAATTTAGAGTTTGTGAAAGTTGAAAAAAAATTGAACTTGTCAAGTGATAGTCCTTTGTTTTTCTTTCTTTCTTCCCTATTTTATTCCCAAGGTACCCGAATGCCCTTCCGTTGTGGTCCGCCAGAAATCAAACCCTGGTTGTAATCGTAAAAATTAACAATTTTGATTAATGGATGAATTAATTGAAAGGCAATTGGAATAAATAATTCTTCCATAGGATGGCAAAAATATCTTGTATGTTTTTGACATAATTTAAAAGAGGATAAACACAGATATGAATTGGAGTAGATGGTCTGGATTGACTTCTCCATCTTCATCTCCATGTTTAAATTTTAAACTCTTTTGACATATTTTTTTCCCGAATTTAGCTGCTTTCCATAGTGGTTGCGCTTCACTGAATTATTCATAAGCTAGGAATAACTCTCTCATTCTTTTGTTTCTCCTAGAGCTATTACACTTTAAATTAGGCTATCTACCAAAACACTTTCTCTTAGCTATTAAGAGAAAATGCATTAATAAAATAATGGAAATCAGGAGCTAGATTCAATATGCTAGAATTTGTGGTCTTAGCAACTTTGTGTGTGCAGGAGTTTTGAACCTTAGAACATTGGAAAATATTATTTATCTCAATTTTTGAATAAGCTGTCTTCAGTTTTTTTTTTCTTTTTGACTTGCATTTATCGGATGCTTATGTTCTTATGATGCAGATGCTCCACACCAAAACACAGTAAGTAGAAAAACAATTATTTTGAGAAAAGAAAGTTTCAATGTTTTTCTTTGGCCTTTAGTGTGTAGATACTAGGTTTTATGCTAGAGAAATCATTGAACCTAATAAAGATAATTACAAATAAATCTGATTTAAAGTTGTAATCACAAAGATGTGTTTGACGCAGTTTTGATAAGATAGTTGGTTACTGTGATTTGGTATAGAGTAGGTAATTGGGTTTTAAATCCAATCTATAAGATCAGAAGGCAATGTGTAGGTGCTTTCATCATATTTGGAAAAAAATATGTTACAAGGCTGCAAATTGTGTGTGATCAAAGCAATATTTGTGTAATATTTCTCCCAGGAGAGGAATCACGAGTTCTATAAGAACATTCATAAGCAGATCTAGAAAATATTCACTACTTATAGTTTTCAAGTATATTCTACCTTATCCATAATGTATTGGGTTGTTGTACATCTAAAAAACATGAACATTTTAGGAAAATTATGTTAAGTTAAAATCATATTATTTAACTACAGTCTTACTTTATTTGACATTGTTGGATGAATTGATGCGGGTTTTTAATCCTCATTTCTAAGCTGGAGGCTGTGAATCAATACAGTAAATCTTAGCATGTACTGGTTTAATACAGACATAGCAGTAACAAAAAGAAGTGTGGGTCCTGGCAAAGGATGCCTGGATGTGTACATACAATAATTGGATGACCCACATTTTTATAACAATAACATTGAAAAGTAGAAGGGATAGAACAGTCTCAAAGGAGATGGAAAGATCATCCACAGAGAATGAACAACAGATTTCCAAAATTAATCTGGAAGAACAAGCCAATAGAGAACAGAAATAGAAGCCGATCACTAAAGAGGTGGCAACAGCAGGACCACTTGGAGGACTAAGAATCTACCAAGACTCCTGCAACAAACCAATGGCTGTAAGGCTGTAAAGACTAATTTCTGGTCTGTTCATGATGACGATGATCATCATCATCATCATCATTGATTATTTCAGTTTCATGGAATTAATGTTAATGAGGGCTTACTTATAATATTTTTAATAATGAGAAGAGATCAACATTGTTTTTTATTTGAATACCA